GGTGCGCGTGACATGTCACGTGTGAGATGGATGGTTGATTGTAGAAGGACTCCTGCAGGCTTGCGCTGCTTGCGCGCGCTCCGTCCGGTAGGTTTTATCAGATCGAAGGCTAGACTGTGGTGTATTCTAGTACCCCATAGCTAGACGAAGGCTAGCTATTGTCACGTGATGTGGTCACGTTGGCATGGTAAGTGAGGAGATTAAGGAGGAAAATGAGAAAGAGGCGAGACGTCAAGGGAGCATGGCTTGTGGAGGCTACGCGGCCGACGTCATGCCCTTTCCCACCCTTCTATCCTCCTTGAACTCCGGTCACAAATGCGTGGGGAACGTGAGAAAATCACCGTTTCTTGAGTATTTTGGGAATGTACGGAAGGACAATAATTTTTGACATAATAAAGGAACAGTTTACAATAATTTTCGCGAAGTTGTGTGCCATGTATTAACGTTTTTAAAAAAATGCTTGAGCGGCATCATGCAGCAGACGACGCGGCGACGTCACACCGTTCACGTGGTGACCCGCTCCGGCCAATCCCCATAAAGTCCATCTCCGCTGCGCAAAACAATCGTCTGCTTCAAACGCCATTGCCATGGAAATTGCCTTTTCGCAATTTTCACACGCATCCAATATTATTAAAACTTTGATAAAGTGTTTAGTGCTTTACCATCTTCACGACAGACTAGTTTTGAAAAGTGTGAACTCGGCGTTTATTTTTTAATCAGCCGTGTTGAGTCGATCTCCATGTATTCTCCCATAGAGCGGGCCGCCCCTTGGAATCCTGAGTACCACGTGACTCGCGCCGAGCTGCTCTGTCTGCCATGTTGTCGGCGAAACACGCGGATCAAAGGATTGCGCTACTCTGCTCCGTAAGAGCTATAGACCAGTGTCCGCGCCAATTCCAGGGCGCCGCCATGTTTATCTACGCTCGCGCCACCACGCGGAGAGAACTGGCAGGCAGGAGGGGGGGGCTGCGTTGGCGGCGTTCCTTTCGGGAGCTGGATGCGGCAGGCTGCCCGAATGCACCGGCATATCGTGAAAGATGTCTTCACCAGAAGCCTCCGCGGCCCGTTCTTCAACAGATAAGATGTCGTGAACATTCGAGAACCCATCTCGATCGAGAAAACAAGAGAAAACCTTTCTGTTCTTAAATGTTATCGGTGTCTGCTGACCCTTGACATGTGTGTTTCAGTCCGGGTTCATTGCGTAGTAAATATTTCGCTGCCGCTTTCTTGTAGCTTTCAAATGCTTGATTGTCGGCTTCTTGTATACGACATTACATTCGTGGCACGGTTGAGACCGATTTTCGCGATCTGCTTGCCTTTGTGCGGCTCTGCCGAGCCGAAATAAGTGGGAGGCGTTTACTTGATCGAACGCCGTTTTAGCGAATGAAAACGAGACCACGACGTTTCATCAAATGACTAGCAAATGGGTTTAGTTCCATAGACAGCTCGGATTAGCTTTCTTTTGTAATGTGCCGCCTTGTCTGCCGCCGCGAAGCGGCGAAAACGAGGGCTCCGAGTGTGTTAGCACGCCCCACGCCCCCCCCCCCCCCCCCCCCCCCCACACACACACACACACACACACTGCGAGCGCCTGGGTTCGAAACTATTAATTGCCAGTTCTAAAGGATGGTACTTACTTGAGGTGGGAGCTGGAATTCTACGAGGTACCAGGAGACACTTACTATCGGGCAACGAAGCGGGGTGCCTGTGGGGACGGAGTCTAGGAACGCTACTGATTAATATTGTGACAGGCGATCAGTTATGATAACAGACGAAACTTCGACTCGTTTGTTCAGAAGCTCGCGGTGATATTTTATTAGCCCTCGTTATAGCACACCAAGGATCCTATAGGCAGTGAAATTCACATCACGCAAACTCGTCCGTCGTAGTCAAATGAGCGCAGTCGACGACGAAATGTAATGAGCTACTAAGCTTCACAAGGTAAATGCCCGCGAGAAAGAGTTTTGTGGCAGTCCAAAACACCGATCCAGCAGACGCACGTACGTACGTACGTTTACTCCGGACTCCATGAACCCGACGGCGCAAGATCAAAGCGATCAAAGAGCACCGCCGCCATCGCCACCCGGTTTTCTCTGCACTTAGCGCGACAACGGCACTGCAACGGAGGGCACTCACCTCGGCGTTAACAATCTGCGAAATAGATTAATTTCCCACTCTTGAAGCCATTCCAAATGATAAATGAAAATATCTCGGCGTTGTAGAACATCTGACGACACAACTGTGCCGAGCGCCTGCTCGGCGTCGTTGTTGCTCGTGCAGGCCTGCTTATTTGTAGTTGAGACGATGATTCCACATCTTTCGTGCCACTCGTGGTGCCTGCGATAACTTCGAAGGGCAGGGGAATCTTCTCACGAGGACGTTGAAGACACTCAACACCGGAGCCACCAAAGCAATCGCACAAACCGTCGCCATGTTTGCTTCTTCGTCACTCACGGTGCGATCAACTCACTGATCTCTATGACAATTGCTGGATCGCGCTTCCCCGCTTGTTCGCTGCAGCGCAAGTGAAGCCACCGGGCTTCACTCGCTTGGGATACGATTTGCCGTTTTTGCTAGCCTTTGCTGCGGTTTTCCAGCGTGCTGACGACACGTTTTACTCGCTCGTCGTCATTCGCCGAGGAAGTTTTTTGAAGACTCTGTGTATTGTTGAGACTTGCCGTTGTGAACACGTGGAAAAGTTTACGAAAGTGCAGTGTCGCAGGAAAAAGGCACAACGCGTCGAAAGGAAGGGCTGGCGGCGTGTTCAAAGCATCCTTGGCACGCCGAAGTGCCGTGTCTCTGTGCCTTCGCGCGCTTGGATACCGACCAAGAACCGACGCCGTGTGTATGTGTTCAGCGAGTGCAATGTGCGTGAAGCTGTTCGTGCCTCTGGATCAGCGTCTTTTCCTCTCGCGGTTTAGGAACGAGCTTAATCTGCAGCGTCCACTAGCGACGGAAGATGGGGAGAAGGTACGTCTTTTTTTCGTCCTTAGACGATTTACACAATACCGTGCACAACAGCTCCTCATCACTGATCAGTGCTGGCTTATTATCAACCTACTTAATTGCACTTGACGTTTGAGCGCGGCTCGCCTAATTGTAATTGGTCAACAGATTGCACACGACCATATCGGCCGCGCTTCAAAGATTTTCATTCTCGCCGTCTTGTACTTTTGCTTTCGAAAACCCCCCTGGCTCCACAACGTTGCCCTATTCGTGCTCCCACGGAATCTATTAGAGTAGATTTGGGACACAGCCATGGTTAATATAGTTCATAAGAACACGTACATATCTCCCCCTTTTATTGATAGCAACTCACCGGAACAGCTGGACGATCCAGAACTCCGTGGCCGATATATATAAATGATCTAAAGGCATCTACGCGCGACACACGTTTAGAACTTTGGCGCGGCGTCAATTCTTGACCGGTATCCAAGCGTGCGAAGGCGCAAAGATGCATCACTGGGCGTGCCAAGGAAGCTTTGATCACGCCGCGACACCGGCGACACGTTTTCGACGAGTTGTACCTTTTGATACGGCTTCACGCACATTGTACTCGCTAAACACATTCACACGGCGTCGGTTCTTGGTCGGTATCCAAGCGCGCGAAGGCACAGAGACACGGCACTTCGGCGTGCCAAGGATGCTTTGAACACGCCACCAGCCCTTCCTTTCGACGCGTTGTGCCTTTTTCCTGCGACACTGCACTTTCGTAAACTTTTCCACGTGTTCACAACGGCAAGTCTCAACAATACACAGAGTCTTCAAAAAACTTCTTCGGCGAATGACGACGAACGAGTAGAAAACGTGTCGTCAGCACGCTGGAAAACCGCAGCAAAGGCTAGCAAAAACGGCAAATCGTATCCCAAGCGAGTGAGGCCCGGTGGCTTCACTTGCGGGAGCGGCAAGCGCGATCCAGCAATTGTCATTGAGATCAGTGGATCAACTCGTCGCGAGATGTTTGCTGGCTCGGCTAGATGGAAACCAACAGCGGCAAAGTGGCGTATGGACAAACGGCTCTCACATTACGGGCACTATACTCACATACCGCGGTAAACAGGACCGCTGCCGGCGAAACTGCAGTCGGCACACCAGCGAAGAAGCCTTCAACGGGAAGCGGCGGTGCAGGCCGACGCAGCCCCCCCTCCCCGTGAGCGTCTGGGTTCGAGATTATTGTTCGCTTTTGCTCCTTGCGGTCGAGGCTAAAAAGAGCACTTCCGGACAAAGGTCTATATAGTGCTCTAGCTACTGCGAGATCGCGCTGCGAGATGGCGGCATCGGTCTTCGCGTGACCCGATCTGAACCGATGCGTGCAGTCGTGCAGTTCCCGAAGAGGCCGCTGCGGGAGAAACGGCGGCATTGCGATCGCGGAGTCACTTTTTGAAAGTAGGCTCCTATCAACTATGGCAGTTTCCCAACTGAGTTTAGTAACGTTGGCCTGCCAGTAGCATCATTCGCGGCCATGCCGGTATTTTATGTGCCACGAGTGTTGGGCTCACCGCGTTAGTTTCACACTACACATATAGTAGCTCGAGGAAACCAGTAAGTAGAAAGAACCGTCCATACCCAGCAATAGCGAGACCTGTAAGCTATGTATCTCAGGTAGTATTCACTGGGTGCCATACTTGAGCTCGTCATTCAGGGCGTATCGGGGGGAAGGGGGGAAATGGAGTGGCGTGGTCAGTCTGGCAGAGGTCGCCACATCCTCAGATCAAGCTCCTACCTACCGTCTGCAAAGGACGGCGATCTTGATGATGTGAAATGAACGTTGCAGAAGCACTAGTAAACTCTATAGCATCCTCCACCAAGTCACCTTCAGGACTAAGTAACTCACGAGCGAGTCGTACGGCCGCGAACTGGCGCTGCTTTTTATGGGCCCGTGACGTGGCGGCATTCCAACGAAGTTTCACAGACCGCCCATCGAAATGCATCGTTTCTTCCTCCGACAACCAAGTATTGTAAGATCTACTTCGCGCAACTTATACGCAAAAAACATGCTCTTTTTTTTTTTTTTTTTTTGTGACAACACGTATAGTATACAGTGTTTATTTGTGCGCTTATTTTGGCCGGGACCACGAATTGAAGCCTCGACGATCAACCGCAGTTCCAGCAGCAAAAAAAAAAAAAAAAATGACCAGGGTTAATAATTTATGGTAGGTCACAGTCATCCCACAAGCTCATGACGTTCGTCCCACGAGTCTTCAACGCGATTCGCTCCTTGAGGCGCTTCACCTGGTCGGCCGAAAAATGACTTCTCCAGTCTCCGACTATACCCTTGCGCAACAACGTTGTGACTTCGCCAGCATCCTTCACCCGTTGAGGTCTTCTCTGCTCGTAGGACAGACGCTCATTGAGCGCTGTCTTCTCGCTGTCGCTCAACATCTGCCTCATCGTCTCCAGACTTGTCCTCGCGAGAACCTCGTTCAAAGCCACAGGATCGGCTCGGAGCCTCGTGCCGTGGTTCTCCCCGAGAAAGTCGGCGATCTTCAGCACCCACGCCGTGGTGTCCTTCTTGAGGCCTTCGTAGGTCAGGAGAAGAACGTTTGGATCGTCTCGACGCTCGTACCAGGGCAGCAGGTGGTCGAAGTAGTCCCCGTACGCCAGCGCACCCTCAACGAACATTTCAAAGAAATCGCTGAACGTTCCGTCCGCAAACTGGTGATCGGGCTTGTTTTTGGCGTGGTAGAAGAAAGACACGCAGCAATCGTATGGGTTTCGGCAGACGTAAATGTACCGGGAATGCTTCGAGAACAGTGTCGAGTGGAAAGGCATGTGGGTCTTGATGGCACCTGGTCGGGACATGTCTCTGACAGACTGGGCGCCTTTCAACTCCAGAAACGGCATCTTTCGCTGAAAGTCTGCCATGGTGTTTGGAAGTGGTCGATCGTTCAAGATGTTGTAGACAATGTGCTGCGTCCACGTGGTGCCGCATTTTGGATAACTCACGATGAACAGGTCTTCTGGCTGCGGCTCGTATTTTAGTGCAGACCGAACGCATTCCTCATTGAAGGCCTGCGGAACGCAGTATCCGTCTACGTTCTTGTACACTGCTCTCGGCATGGCGTCCTAGAAAATATAAACGAATTTTTAATAGCAAGAAAACTAAGAACCCCTTATTACCGCCCCGCAGTGAATTAGGTTGTGACATTGTCCAATTGGAATGCCGAGCAACGAATAACAGCGAGACGCGTGAACAATATAATTTATACATTTATGAAGCTGTCAGAGTTCATGCAAAAAAACGTGACCACGTGTGGGTCTCTTCTACACATGAGAAATGTGTGTTTGTGTGTTTTAGAGAGGCGAAAACTATATCTTCAAAAGAAACGGTATCTTGCCTAATTACCATCATCAGCGCTATCTGTTATTCGTTTTTGTTTGAGCAGCCTCGACGAAGGTTTTATTCAAAAACTCTTTAGCACATGTATGCCTGCTTGAGAGTTCAAGATTTGATTACCTCCATCACTGAGCAAAATTATGCAGTCAAGAAGGCGTGAAAGCGGGGTCACACTCCTTATACATAATACAAAAGACAGTCTGCATACAGATTCGAACACGAGATTCGAACACAGCACCCCCCCCCCCCCCCCCCCTCCCTCGTTACTTTTTCGCCAGAACTGGACATTGAAGCTGACGAAAGCATGCTGGGATTCTATTTACCATGTATTTTGTCAATAAAGGCAACGTGGGCGTTATTTTGTTTACATGCCACTACTAGAAGCTCGTTACATGGCACGTAAACAGCGTCTTGGTAAGGATCATGGCCCGGGCCTCGGGAGGGCTCTGCCCCCCCCCCCCCCCCCCCCGGATCTCACCAGGGGGGGCACGAGCCCCGATGCCCCCCCCCCCCCCCCCCCCCCCAAAGTCTACGCCTATGATTGGCGGTACTTGTAAGCGTGAATTTCATCGAGGGATTTTAGCGCGATCTCGTAAACCGCACCGCATTCCGAGGCGTGGCCTGTTCACGTCCTCTAACGGCGAGCAGAGGGGTGTGAAGGGAAGAGGTGTTCCAAATAAAGTTAAACCACTAGGGAAGGATTCGGCGCGGCCCTCGTTTTCTCTAATCCAAATAAAGAGAACGTCCTGCATACCCCCTAGTAAAGTGTTTGTTAGTAATACGCGTAGGCACGTCATCTTTCCCTTGCTCAACAGTAAAACAGCAACAGCAACCAACGCCACAGTGCTCGCGTTTGTCCCGTTGTCAGAACTGCAGATGTTTGCTAAACGGAATGGAAAGACGAAACAACGCGCCGCCTCTCACGAGCTCCCGTCAAACGCTATGCAGCGCGCAGGAAACGCAAACGTCGCGATTGTACCTTTGCATCGGCCTGCTGAAGTTTCCGGGTCCGGCGTACAAGGACGGCTGCAAACACGAAACTGCCTTCGAACGCAGCTGCTTCTGCTCACACGTCAACGCCGCGCCAGCGACCTTGAAGCGTCCGTACACGAACGAACTCACTCGATCATTACGCGCCCATCGCAACACCCCCTAGAAAACAAGGCCGCGCTGCTGATTTCTGTGACGTCACCAACTGTAGTCCAGCGCTGGATACTGATGGAACAGTGCAACACGTCCGCTCTCAGGAAGGTGCACACGGTGCGGACTCGCGTTCTCACTGATCCAACACAATTCTCAGCCAAACCCTGTCGCTGGGCTCATTCACCATCTGTTCCTTGCTCTGGCTTCTGATTAGGAAGCGCGTACAAAAACGAGCTCTATACAAACTCGTTATCGTGATGGCCTATACGGCTCTCCCTGGACAGAGGCTCTCAGTCTACCCGAACGTTATCTTCTAGACAATGAAGGTAGTAGACGTCGCTATCTATTCTGTCCGCCGTGCCTTACAGCGTTATCGATCGCGGACAACACCTCCTAGATAAGAAAGGCGTAATGCTGAATGCTAATGCTTTTAGGCCTTACCTAAAACCGCAGTACTCTGCTTGTGGACATCCTACAAAAGACACGGTTTCCGCTGCACCTCAAGCATGTTCGAAGCACGTTTACTTCATGCATATGTATCATTCGAACGTGTCTGCTCTGCCGAGAGATTTTACGACTGAGGTGAGCGGTCCACATGTTGGACACGAGCGCTGGGTCAGCGCTCTTTTTTTAGAGTCGTGTTCAATGGGCGAGAAGACGAGTCCGACGCTCACGCGCTTCATAAACAATCCATCCTACGATTATGCTTCCAAGTCACGTGATTTCTGCGACATTGTTTGGTGAATGCGATTGAGAGAAGGGGCTGCAAGAGTCCCATCTCGTTTCATATCCGACTATGAAGGCAAAAGTCACCTGTATTAGTAGGTTTCTCATATTGGCGATCCTGATACGTTGGGATGGTACAAGGCAAAACAAATCACAGTAACAATCAGGTAAACGTAATGAAAGAGCGCACGGCAAGGCAGACCGAAGTAAGCCAAGGATCATTAGGAAAATTTAAAGGCACGTGGTTCCTGAATTCTCGCATTAAACTAAAAGGCTATCGACAATAGTATGTTAGCGGGTGACGTACAAAATCTAGCACTGCGGCCTTGTCATCTGGAAGGTGCTGACGCGGAGCAGTTGCTCGCCTGCCCTCGCCCGATCACTTCGATAACCTCCGTCGTTGGATCTATACACTTAGTTCTACACAGGCTGTTCCCGGCGTTCCATGCCGTGCCGCGGACGGCGCTGCGTGCTTTGCGAATGGTTCATTAAAATCCAAGCAATGTGCCCGTGAGCACGTCAGCAATTTATAAGGCAACAACAATGTGTGTCGCGTGTGTCGTCAATGTTTCACGGGGAATATTAGTTCTCGATGTGCGGGCTCGCGGAAACAAACGTTGCCAAAAACAACCCCTTCCGAACTGTTTTCCAGCGAATTTGCTGTCGCTTCCCCCCGGAACGGTAATGTAGCACCCTTACGCACACCCACAAAGAAATGTTGCACCCATAAAAAGACTTTTCCTGGATCTCACACCTATGTGACTCACACCTTTTCAGCACCCTATACTTCATACCCTTTTTGATTCTAAAATACGGTGATGACGCATTCAACACCCTTAATTTTTAAAGGGAATAGAAAGGCTGTGAAAAAGGGACAAAATGCTGAACGCATCATAAAGTCTTCAGGTTACTGCACACTATAGACGAGGATAAAACCAGGGACACACAAAGAGACAAACACTAGCGCTTACTTACAACTCCTTTATATTCTTCTTCTACTTCTACTTTCTCTTCACGACACTAGTTTCAATAACAGATCGGTTATAAATAAAATGAGGGAAAAACCAAAATTTTTCTCACGAGCCACTGCGATCATCGCCCTAAATATTCACTTCTTTTTCTGGTAGCGTTAGGGATGCGCGAATGGCAATTATCTCCGCGCGATCGTCTCTGCATGCCTGTGTCATTTCTCTGGTGGTCAGGTTCTTACTCCTAGCTATGAGGATACATTTCTTGAATTCTGCTGATGTTATAATGGCGTTTTCTTAATCGATCGTTCAAACACCGGCCTGTTTGCCCGATAAATTTCTTACCACACGAGAGTGGAATAGAATAAACCCGCTCCTTCCGAGCAAGGCACAAAACATGTTCGGTGTATTTTGTTTTTTTGTGCAGCCGAATTTACCGTCGGCAGATTGATTTACTTTTATAACTAGGCTAGACAGCTTGTTTCATGCTGAGAAGGCGACGTTAATATTAATGTCATATCTAATTTTTTAAGGCCGTGTGAAACCTTATTTATATAAAAAAACACATTCTGTTTTTTTTTTTTTTTATGTCTCTCAACTTGTAATTTTTAGGTTCATTCTTCTTATTTTCTGAAGAAGATCTTAAAAAATAAATCCTCGTCCTTAATGTTATATAATTAATAGCGGAAGGGTTACAAGTCTATTTACAAGTGGAACGCCTGCCCCGAGGCATGCGCGTTCCATCCGACATGACAGTCAGCCGTCACCTTCTCCTTCCACGTGGCACGCACCAGGTGCAAAGCTGCCTGACGGGGAACCGAGTCAACATCTATGACAGCTACAGTTGTTAATAAGTATATAGGGTACCCCGCCGATTGTAAATTGGAAATTTGTGCATCAACGCTTACTTTTAAAGCACAAAGCCACGACTGGCATTAGCGAGTTCTAGCTTTACTATGCCTCTTTTTACTAGCTTCGAATGTGTCGGCGGGAACTGAAGGCGAGGTTTCTTTCCTCGTGGTTCGTACATCCATCACATGTGATTATCTAACAGAATTAACCGTAGGTCTAAGAAGCGTAAGGACCCTCCCTTCGGAAGCTCATGCGCTAATTCTAGAGGTTTTACACAGTTCTTAAAACATGATAGGACAGTAGTTACGTTAAGGTAGAAGTCTGTGTCTGAACAGTGTAAGAAAATTCGGTAGTCATCAACGAAGCGAAACACTTTCACAACAATACAGTTTTAATAACTGTCTGAAACCTCTATAATTAACGCATGAGCTTCCGAAGGAAGGGTCCCTACGCTTCTTGGACCTACGTTTAGATCTGTTAGATAATCACATGTGCTGGATGTACGAACCACAAGGAAAAAAAACCTCTCCTTCGGTTCCAGTCGGCACATTCGAAGCTTGTGAAAAGAGGCATATTGAAGTTATGCCTCACCAATGCCCTTAGCGAGTATGTTTTCAAAGTAAACTTTGAAGCGCCAATTTTCAGGTTAAAATCGGCGGGGTACCCTATATACTTACTAACAGCTGTAGCAGAAGCTTACCAAAAATAAGAAAGAGTGAACCTAAAAAATGCGAGTTAAATAAAAAGAAAGCTGTTATTTCTTATAGATGCTTTACAGCAGCTGTGCATGAGCGCCGCCATAACCGACATTCAGTTTTTGTTTCCTCTTACTTTTATCACTTGCCTCCATCCCTACCACAGCAGGGCAGGTTAGTGCCATTTCAGATTCGACTGTGTCCTTCTCCCCGGCGTTTCCCTCTTCAGTGGCTTGGTATCTCGGGAAGACAGGTGAAGGTCGGCAATGGCGGCTGTAATTTGGCGCATGTGTCGTCTATATGTATAAGGTTTCACACGGTCTTAATAAGACAGGAAATCGCCAAACATCTGTCTAGCCTGTGTAGGAAGGCAAATCAATCTGAACACCGTCAATTCGGCTACACAAAAAACAAAAAAAACAAAAAAAAAAAAAAAAAAACACCGAACATGTTTTGCACGAGATTGGTTTGCACAATTTGCACAAGATTGGATCATTCTATTTCGCTATTGTGTGGAAGAAATATATAGGACAAACAGGCCGGTGCTTGAACGATCGATTAAGAGAAAATCATTATGACATCCACAAAATCATTTCTGGACATCTCGGCATTTACTGCAGGAATTGTGGATGCTCAGCAGATTTCGAGAAACGTACCGTCATGGCTAGAGCCACTATATGAGCTGCGCTCAAAGTATCGGCACTCTGTTCCCGATATTGTTGTGGGCGCCGCCATCTTGGTGCTTGCGCAGAGCAGACGCAACTGTCGATCGTCGTTATTCAAAAGTGTGACTTCGTCAGCATTAGATTGGGTGTTAGGAAGCTCATGCAATATAGTTCTGCTCTGTCGCGAACTGTTTAAACATTTCTGGAGGCCGTAAAGGCGTTTTTTGTGATTTCAGATGAAGCTTCAGATAACTGGCAACCATAATTTCCAGCCACAAGATGGACAAGTCTCGTTACTCTGAAGCGTAGCTTATTTAGTGGCACTAGTCATAGCTATACTTCGTTTCACCTTATGCTGTACCGCAGCGAAGGCTAGAAGCGCGAGCTCATAGCGTTGGCAGCTGCTCTTAATTCACGAGAGCTTGTGCCGCCGAGATGTGCCCCAGAGCAGGGAGCTCGCGCTTGCAGCCTTTCCTGCGGTACATCATAAGGTGAAACAGAGTTTAGGAGTAGGAAATCACCAGAGAAATAATAAAGGCAGAGATGATCGCGCGCCTAGAAGATAATTGTGTCAGCAGCCAATCCCTAACGCTATCATAAAAAAGAAAAATAATATTTAGCGAGATGATCGCAGTGGCTTGTGAGAAGAATTTTAGTTTTTCCCTCATTTCATTTGATCTGGTATTTGAACTAGTGTCGTGAAGGGGAAGTAGAAGTAGAAAAGAACACAAAGGAGTTGTAAGTCAGCGCTTGAGTTTGTCTCTTTGTGTGTCTCTCGTTTTGTCCTTGTCTAGTGCGCTGTAATCTCAAAATGAATCACCAGCTCGCCCAAGCTCCCACCTTAAAGGGGTCATGAAACGATTTTCCTACTTCTTCCTCCTTAGCTTTAATCCTCAACTCAAATGCGAATTGTGAAATCACGTGGTCGTGACATTCCTTCGGCACCGGTGCGATGACTCCTATACTTCGTTTCAGCTTCGGTCCAGACGCAGCCAAAGCTACAAGCGCGAGCTCCGGGCTTTCAGCATCCCTGCCAAGCACGCGCGCTCGTGCAGTGCAAGCACTGTTCTGGGCCACATGCTCGCGCTTGTAGCATCGGCTGCGTCTGGACCGAAGCTGAAACGAAGTATAGCTTCCACCGTGCTTCTTATGCACACCATAGAACTTGTCATTCCCCAGTGACGATAAGTTCCGTCAGGGCACTCATTAGCCACGAACGCGAATCCAAATATTCATCGACAGATTGATTGTTACGAGCGCATACGTCCGAGTGACGCAGTTCTCGTGTCCAATGCGTGATCTGGACTCTGCTGACGTCAGTTTGGCGCCGGTGACGCGCTTTTGGAACCGCGGATGCATCATAGTGAAAAGGCGGAGAGCTTTCAAAGGCAAGAAGGTACAAAATAGTCCGCTATATATTCAAATTTTCGTACCGAAAAGCTGGCTTTTGACTTTCTAGCCTCTTTCTTTTGGCCAACTAAGCGATATGCGCTTAGTAAAGTTCCAATTTAAAATCATTCATCCCAACCCAAAATTTGTTTCATGGCCCCTTTAACGAGCATCATAATGGTGCCGCCGTAACACTCCTAGGGTATTAGGCCTTGGACAAGCCGATTTGGAGCCTTACAAAAACACAAGAATGAAATATATATATGTATATATATAGATATATGAAGACATAATGACTGAAGCTTGTGGGCCGGCGACACAGTGTGGCCGGTGATAATCGAAATACACAAGATCTATGGACTGAACAAAAACAAGGAAATGTTTATTGACGTTTCGAGGCGAGGCCTTTCACAATGACGATTGAGGGAACCTGGCATGATTTTTCCGTAGTCCTGCAAAGTAAACAGTAACAACAGAAACTTACATTACACAAAAAAAATACCAATAAAGGCGAGGAGGAGGGTTGGCTCGCTATATATATATGTTACGGCGGAGCTGTTAAGGTCTAGTTTCCCCAGCACCGCCGCGAGGCCGCTATCGCCTCAAGTTCCAGTGCGTCGAGCGCTTCAGATTCCCTTGCGAAAGAAGAGCAGATCGCTCGCCTGGAAAGCCACCGCCGAAAGAGAGTGACAGTAAACACTTTATTGACTGAGGAAATGGGTCAAGGGGAATAGAAATCATGGTGAACAGAAGCTACAACTCCGCTGCCCTTCCTTCTTCACCAGAGAGAAAAGACTGACAGTTTTTATAAAGGGCTCAGGTGAAACACTTCTTTCACAAAAAAGAAAACAACATACAAAGAATGAATGTTTTAAAGAATTATTATTTTCCCCGAATAATAAGTGAGTGGAATCCCTTGCCAGAAAGGGTGCTGGGGCAGAAAGTGTTTCTGATTTCACAAAGTGCCTATCGATAACTAATAGACCTTGTGTAAAGTTTGGTCTTTATCTTGGCATTTTACGGTGTTCGGTGTGCTCGGTGTGTCTGCTACTTGTGATTGTGTTGTTCCTGTTTTTGCTCACTCCTATCATAGTCCCTTCTAACAAAGAGACTGATTGTATTTTAAAATAAATAAATAAAAGAAATAAAAAATTGCTACTGTGTCCTGGTGTCGTTGGAAGCTCGTGATGCTTGGCGTTTTGCGTCGCAACGAAGCAACGCTATTCTAAAACTCTCTTGCGTTACGTGCGCTAACGCAAGCTCTAAATTTTAGCGCTATAGCGTGCACTAAAATGGCGTACGCTATTCTAAAACTCCCTAGTGACGTATCGTACGCATCGTAGTACGTAACGGCGAGCGCTTCAGCGAACTGTCGGTTTTCTTAACGCTCGCATTACTACGATATACTCTTCTGTCGCTTCATTAAAGCCAGCTGTTGCTGGGGGGTTGCAGCTGTGTAGCGGCATGCGATGGCAGGTGTACCGGGGAAAAATAACTTCATGCTAACTCCCCATGCAGTCTCTGACGCGAAGTAGAGCACGTGTGGTAGAAACGGTAACTGAAATGAGCGACCACATGCAGTCGGCTTACTTTTTAACCTGACTCTGAAGCTGCCAGGTTTGGTCACATCAAAGCCGCAACGGCCGCATGCACAGTTTGAAACGGTAAGAGTACGCAAACGTTGGCTTCGTTTGCACTTTTGAGGCTCTGTAGTTCACACAAATCAACCCTTTTTCCCGTCGTCTTTGCGATGAGCGCCGAATGTAAAGATGACATAGATTTTAGGTCTAGCGTGCTTTCCCATCGCTCAAGCAGTCTTTCTACACATGCACAGTTCTTTCGTTACAGCGTCTCTGTCCTTTGCTCCGAGTAACATTTCGTATCCAGAAAAGCGACGACGGCGGTTTGAGGAGAAGGTCACATTTCCTGTATAATAAAGCTTTAGTCATGACGTGACGTTGAGAGCTTTAATGGCTCGGCGTATCAGAACCAGCAAAGTGTCTGCAAAGCCCCGTTTTTGCAGGAGCTCAGACGCTCGATCCTTTTTGCAAATAAATGAACCCGTCTTACACTGACGTTTCGGTAGCACGGCTTAAGGTGAACATCGGGATTTTTCGTAGATAGTAAGGTGCGGATTGGCAGACCCTGCAGGTGCGTGCTCTATCCCTGATCAAAGTGACGTCCGCCACAAGGTCTCGCTCGCTTTTCACCCAAAGCTCTTGCGTGCTATCTACGAAGATTTCCTAATTATGGGACGCGTAACTCGTTCCATTTGAGACACGGTGGATGTAACATCTTACTATTTGAGATAATATAGTAATTGTGCAGGCGGACCTGGTGAATGTTATAACTATGTCGAATAAACCTGAGACTGGGGCACAAATGAACATATATGTCGAAGGAACAGGAAAGGACAAGACGACATCTTAATTCTGTTCCTTCGACCTATATGTTCATTTCGGCCCCAGTCTCAGGTTTATTCAACGTGGTTTACTATTTGAGACAGCGATGAGTAGGGGTACTTGGTTACATTTTACTAACATGCACATATCTGGTGCGAAATGTGCATACCAACAGCCGTGTAAGACCGCGTGCGCCCCCTTATTCACGGCCACGGTGCACACGGCACGCATGCGCTGCACCTAAGCGTGTTTCTATTTTTGTGTGTGCTGAATTGCTGTTGTTCGCGGCGCCGTCGACTCGGTTCGTCGAGGCTCGAGCCATTTCATCCTTGTATAGAGGTTATTCACTGGGCGCCATATTTGAGGGCGATGTTTAGAGCGCACGCTTAGAAGGAGCTCACATTAACAGGCTGCACAGACTGGCAATCTCGACGCTGCGGAATGCACGTGCCAAAGAACTATGGAAGCTCGTCATCAGCACACACTCAGCAGTCACGCACACAGCTATGGCCGCCAGTGAATACTCCCTAAAATCACGGCTTGGCACCAAAGCGGCAGCGAGCAACGCACGCTCGGGTCTACGAGGAGTTCCACAATGTACGTTGGGACCTCAAAAGACGTTTATGTTGACTGTAAAGCGCCGTTCACATATATGCGACCGAGTAAAACCGAGAGAGACCAGACAGGTTTTTAAGCCTCTTGCGATGTCTTAGGACCGGGCGGAGCTGGTCCTAAGAGATCGCAAGAGGCTTAGACACCGGTCTGGTTTCTCTCGGTCTTACTAGGTCGCAAGAGTGTGAACGGGCCTTCAGTCAATTATTGGCTATAGAGGTTCACCACGTGGCACCGGCAAAGTTTAAACTAATTGGCCTGTTCTGACCAGGAAGAACTCCCCAGAGGAGCGAGATCTGGCAATGACACCTAGAAAACGCCAGCGCCTTTCTTCTCGAACTTCATCAATAGAGGGTTCAAGCAGCGCAGCCAGTGCGTCGTGCAGCGTCTCAGCATGCACAAGCGCGACGCTAGCACGTGGTGACGCCAAGACTGACGCGTCTGCTGCTCACTTGCGGCGTCTCTCGTCGAACTTCAGCGTGTTTGCCGCTGGGCGTATGTAGGGGATCCAGTAACGATTACGTCATGTGCATGCCTTGTCCACTAGGTGGTATTGGATGTATACAGTCACTGCTCTGCCAATCCAAACTCAGTGAGCTGTACATATCCTGTTAGTAAACCCGCCTAAATCTCAACATGCGAAGTCCCCTTTCTCACTGTCGACGCCATGGAATGGACCAGCTCAGACTGTGTCAAGCTGCCATACCCAGCAACAAACGAATCTTTACTGGCCGAGACATTAGAAACGTTAGAACAGCCAACACGCAGAAGGATAACTGCGTACGAATGCTGCCGATATAATGGCTGTTGTTGAAGACTCGCCTGAAAGAACAGCTTGCTGCATTCTGAACATTTCAGCGTTCAATGTTTGCATCCCGCGCATTCATCGCTACATTGTTTTATTAATATCATTTCCACAGGTGGCGATGGCAGACACCATGTACAGAAAGGTTGAAGGCTACTACCTACACGTTGCGTTTCCAGATGAATGTGTGCGTTCAGCCCTGAGGTACGAGCCTCGACCTGGAGATCTCTTCATCGTCAGCTACCCGAAGTGCGGAACAACCTGGATGCAACACATCGTCTACGGCATCTTCCACGGTCGTTCGCCGCCGAAGGACGTCCTGACCTATTACCGAGAGATGCCCTTCATAGAATTCCAAGGAGCGGACTCAGCAAGCGACATGCCGAGACCAGGAGCCATCAAGACTCACATGCCCTTTCAGTTGCAACCTTATTCGAAGGACGCCAAGTACATATACATCACCAGGAATCCGTACGACTGCTGCGTCTCCTTCTTTTACCACACCAAGGCCATGCACGAGTACAGTTTTAAAGACGGTACGTTCGACGAGTTCTTCGAGATGTTCATCGAAGGCACTGCCGACTTTGGCGACTACTTCGACCACGTTTTGTCCTGGTACGAACACCGGAACGATCCCAACGTACTCTTTTTAACATACGAAGACCTCAAGAAGAATACCGCTGCGTGGGTGCTCAAGATCGCCGATTTCGTCGGGGAGGAATACGGCAGAAAACTTCGAGAGGATCAGAGGGCTCTGGATGCGATATTGGACAAAACAAGTTTCCGAATCATGCAGCAAGAGGGGAATGGTTCTTTCAAACAGTTGTACGAGGACATCAAGACGATCCCGGAAGGGGAAAGACCCGAGTGGTTCAGTTTTGTGAAAAAGGCTATGGGTGAGGACGTGTTGCAGAACCCGATGAACGGCGATTTTGTGCGCAAGGGAGTTGTTGGCGACTGGAGGAATCATTTCTCGGCTGACCAGGTCAAACGCCTCAAGGAGCGCATCGAGTTCAAGACACGTGGTAAAGACCTCATGGACTTGTGGAAAGACGCCGACATTCCATAATGTTAACGCTGACTTAGAATTCTGCCCATAGCTCTAGTGTGGGAATTTTTTTGTCGTTGGATCTGTTGGCACCCAATGAATGTGCCTGAAGGAAAGGAAGTAAGTAGAATTTATGTTGTGTTAAAAATTCTAGGCAGGCGGAGCAAATAAAGTGAATTTTAATATTCCTATGGAACTGCACCGCCATTTCATAAATCTGACAACATGAGATAACCTTTTACGCATATTATAATGTTCGTTAGTTTTTGGAAGTGAGTGTAACGGTATTTCGCCACATTTTCAAGACGGTGACGAATTTCGATAATGCTTTAAATTTCGACGAATTAACGAGGGACGCTGTTTAGTTACATATTTCTGTAACGGGCTAAACCCTGGCATGATACGGCTTTAGTTTACTGCTTTAGCTTACACCAACGCTACCAAAAACAACACAGTTGGAAACTGCCATAGAACCGGCTTCGAAAAAATGGCTCCGATCCATACTCGAGAATCGAACTAAAGGCGATCGCAACGCCGCCATTTCTCCCGCAGCGGCCACTGCGGAAACTGCACGGCTGCACGTATTGGTTGCATTCGATAGCTTGTGCTGTGACTGTTCTATTTTAGCCAACGTTGGTTTCAACTTTGATCGGCCATTTTGGCGCAGAAACATATACGGTGGAAGAGGCTTCAGGGTTGCCCACCCCCGTCTACCAAGCGGACGCGCTGCGAAATTATGGGGTCAGGGTACCGACACTTCTAGGCTCGATGGCGCCAAGATGGCTGCTCAGTTTGTTTAACTGTGGTCAATAGGAGCGTTTCAAAATCATGTTTTTGCGTATAACAAACGGAAAAAGCACGTTTTGAAGAAAGTTTTATTGGAGATTAGTACAGAATAACAGGAGCGAGATGTTTTTATAAAATCCTTGTTGACGGGGGATTTTCCGGCACAATTAAAATCGTTTTTATACAACCATGCCTCACCGATGATTTCAGGTAACGCGTCCCGACCTAAGCGCGTCCTAGATCGGGGGCTCCAATCTAGGGCGCCGTTTCGCAGTAGCTATATAAATTAACTTTTATGTTTTGACACGTCGCTCAAAGGCGGCGCTGTTATCGTCTAGGGAGCCTACATACTTGGACTATATAGTGTGTAGTTTGGTCTCAGTGGACGCGAGCGGTCCGGGTTTCAAGGCATGAGTTTCCCAACTGAGTGTTTTAGTAACGTTGGCTTACGCCTACAGCAAGATATAAGTTGAATGTACGCCTTTGAAGCAGCGGTTGTAAAAGGGGAGTATTAAAGCGGAGCTTTGTCTATCAATCCCCCATGTTGCACTTGTATATAGCTGTCGTACAGGCATACCTGAGGTTAGTTTCACTATATACTTCGTTTCCTTGTTTACAAATAGCGCTAAGACAAGGACAGACGAAGAAGTGGACGGGTCAGGCGCTAACTCACAACTGACGGTTTTATATACAACGAAAAAGAAGAAAGTGTAGGAAGTGGCTGGGTGATAAAAAAAAAAATAATTCGATTTCTAGCCCGGGCGTTTTAAGAAACGAGCTTGTTACTAAAACACAGTTGACCAAAACAAAAATATTAAAAATTAAACAAAGGTACTGAATTTGAACTATATACGAGAAAAAATAATTAGTCGTTAGTTGTTTATACGGCAGGAGTTTAGTCTGCCAGAACATGGCGACATTGTTAGCCACTCAGTGGCGTCACGAGGGTCAGCGGCCCCCAAGGCGGTAGCCCGCCGCGACACCCCCATGTCATGTAAAGCGTCACGAGGACGCTTTACATGACGCCACAGTATCACGTGACGTCCTCTGGCGTTGAATTTCCCCGCTAAATTTAACTTAAATATTTATCAGCTAAATTTAGCGAGGGAAAGCTTTGTGAAGTTACATTGTCACGTGACGTCTTGTGATGTCAAATTCCCCCGAAAATGTAGCGAAAACATGTATGCACTAAATTTAGCGAGGAAGTATCTCTCCTCTGTATTTAATTAACGGTGAAACGCTTTGTGTGCGGTGAGTGTCATGTGGCTCTGTGATTCTCGCTAAATTTGGTGAGAAGTGCTTTCCGCTAAATTTGAATGGCGACACCATACACAGGATCTAAAGCCCCTTAATGAAATTCACACTTCGCGTTTCTTACAAGTACCGTCACCCATCGTTGTGCGAAAGCGCGAGACTCATGCCACGTACAAACGATATGGTCGTATCCCCTTAATCATAAAAAAGACGTTTCATTCAATCATTCGTTCATTTATTTAAAATGGCTTCTTAACCGAGAGCAAAACAGACAGTGACGAAAAAGGACACGAACTCAAAGACCTCGTGGTACGCCATTTACTCAAGAATATTTACAGGACGTAGGTCAATTATGATCATGAGCACACACACATCTCATTCCGCAGTCATCCTTGATGAACCTTTTTCGGGGAACAGCAGTGCGCATAGGCAAGTACAAGCAGGCGACAATGGCGTCGGCTGTTCTCGGGGCACTGTTGACTTGTCCGGAGTGGAGAGCAGCAAGGACGCTCGTGCCACGGCCTCCAAGAGTTGTTGATGTGTTCCTGCGAAGTGAGTTCGCAGGCCCGCCTCTAGGCACTGTCTTTAAGCGGAAAACACTGGCTAGGTGGCACAAACCGCCGCCCAATTTAGAGGGTTCAGCCGTGTATACATTCATCCCTCCATCCATTTACTTCATTTTACAGTGTTCTTCGTTCGAGTAAAGGGGCCCTCCAACAGTATTTGAGCGTCGACTTTTTATTGCGGTTTCTACACGCTTGTGGTCCCGGAAAGCCAGTGGACAACGAAAGAGTTTGAAAATATTAGCGCATCATATTTTAATTTGACAACTCGGAAACACCTCCACCAATGGTGGCGTCGCGGGGTGCCGAATGCGCGCGCATAACGGCGCTCCCTTTCACTATACGTCACATTCTCTGGGTTTCGTGATTGGCGACAGCCGTCCCAGGAATTTTGAAGCGAAATAAAGTATATCACACGTTAACCGTCCTTATTTCTCCAACCAGTCATTTTTATAGAGCTAATAAAGTTGCAAAGTAAAGTTCAAAAAGGGCGAAAACAACGCCTTGTCCAACGTTGGCCTTGTTAGAGTAACTGTATATGCTCCGCTTGCGGAGCAGAGTATCGCAATGGTGCCATTCTGGAGCCAAGCACTGCGGGAAGCCACGGTCGGTTTTTGCAGGGGCACGAAGGCACAGACGCGAGGAGGCGGCGTGCTGAGGCGTGCTGCGGTGCGCTGCGGAAGGAAAATAGTGCGGCGTGCGGCGACGAGCCGCGCATACGCCGTGATCGTTGTCCCGTCGTTTCCTGTCTCCTTCCCGCAAAAAGCGCACCCGCGTACGCACCCGCGGGTCCCGCGGGTCGCGTGTGAAATGAAGTCGTCAAGTCGCTGTTGCTGGGACGCAGATAGCGTCGTGAGCCCGCTGTGTGCCCAACGTTTTGAGGACCTTTCCCCTCGAGCGATCGCAAGAAGCAAAAGAACGCAGGCCTGCTTATTTTCCTCTTGTGTTTAATCGAAAAGCAAGTGCCGCTGCTCAACCTGACTTTTTTTTTTTTTTTTTTTCAGCAGACAGTTTACTAGATATTAGGTAAACGGAAAGGTGCTTTACCTTCGTGCGTTCCTGAGAAATGTCGAGCACCCCCACTTTTATGCTAAAATAATAAACAACTGTTTTTTTTCTTCTTGTTTTTTTTCTTTTTTATCTGAAGTTTTTGCCATTTCACGAATTCGAGACGCAGGAATTGAGAGCTCTTGGAGACTGGAATTTTCGCATGTTTTCAAGTTGGGCTAAATTTTGAATTTGCTTGAATCGCAAACATTAGGGGCTCGCGAATAATAAATGTTAGATGGTGCTCCGAACTCTGGGAGATGCCGCAAGGTGCAAACTGCGTAATATAAAAAAAGTCCACCTACGTTCCACTTTCATTGCGGATAAGGCTTTGAAAACGCAGTCCAATTCGTTGCGGGGACCAGAATGATGCCGAGATTGACTGTTTTCCTATTGACCAGTTTATTCCGCCCCGAGAATAGGGCGATAGAGCTCTGTCTACTTTCAGTGTGTGACACCAACATGCATCTCGGTTTCTCTTCTATTTTGAACATTTTGCTGAACCTGTTAAACTGTTTTACTACCACCGACATGGTCCATTGAAGAAATTGCGAACAGGCACAGCACTAACAGTCTCTAAAACACGTTTATCCATACAATTGCCTGCAGAAATCTTTTGGGGTATTGTAAAAGGGCAGACAATAATTAAAAATGATCTCCTTCCCATACGAGAAAGCCAGACGAGGCGGCGTCTCACATCGTGTCTCGTCGTCGGAATCCGGTACAAGCTTTTGCCACTGTCTGCGCGTATTGTGCACTTGGTAACACTACAGCCTGTCATTTTCACGAGGCTCTTTCTACGCGCATGCAAAATTTAATACTGCAAACGACGTAGCAGCCGACAAAAACGCGGTCCCCACGCTTTCAAACGAGAGCTCGCCGACTCGCCAAGATGGCCGGATGTGCCGGTCGCGTACCGGTATCGCGTATCACTCCGCGAGAGCCGCAGACGCGGGGAACGCGATCGCCGTCCGTGTCGTCTGCTTCACATACCCTGAAAACAAATGTCCCAGAACATCGCTCGCGTTATAAAAAAACGGGACTGTACTGTAGCCAGTTCATACACATAATGTTCAATGACTTAGGAAGCTTTCGGTTCGTTCGATTTTAGTCTAGAATCTATATCTTGCGAACTCAAAGCGGAAAATATGTTCCCCCGAAACTCGGCGCTCTGGAAGGCCGCTTTCCCGCACGGAGGTCGGATCCAGTTCTGCCCACGTGACCACTCCTCCGCCAATACGGAGGTGGCGGCGAAAGGAAAAGGAACGCGCTACTCTGGCTCTGCTCATGCGCGCCTCCCAGCGGCGTCCGCGACGTACCATCGTGAGCAGACGACAAGTGATCCGTGCACACAACGCGCATCGTATTTTCACTTGTGCGCCCCCGGTCCCGGTCAACTAAAAGCAGTAAGAGGAGCCAGGGGAACCCTTATTTTCTTTTAATGCTGTGACAGACTTTTCACTGTTCGAGTGAAGTGCGGCGACGGGATCCAGCTTTTGCCCAACGGGACCGCTCACCAGTTTGTAGCTCCTACTCGCCGAGGTGGCTCCGGTGGCGGAGTTGCGGGAGACGAGTCTTCCGCGGCAGTCGAAGCGGACTGATGCAGAGACGCGTCGCGGCGCATGCGTGGAGTGTCCTCGTACGGCGCGACGCCCAGCTCCGCACTCAAAATCCGATAAGCCCGGTAAATTCATCGATGATCGCAACCCGATCCCAAAGCTACGATGGTTGCGGCTAGGCCTAATGGCCGACGAGCCGACCGGCCCGACGCTTTGCTCCAATCGTCCGGGCCGATGCTTTGCTCCCATTGGCCAACCGCTTTGCTCCAATCGCTAAACTATTTAATTTTACGTCATGAAGCGCAATGTTTTGCTTATTTAAAGTTGTTTTCTGCAATATTTAGTTTTCTAATAACTCACAAAATATTGCGAATTTCTGTAATATTTTTTTTCCTCGGTGTTCCTGCTTTCATGGAGCTCCTTTTCAGCGCCAACTTCAAACCGGTCAAAAAAGTGTTGGTGGGCCCCTTTAACAAGTCAGACGCTCCCGAAAACACAACCCATGTTCAAGGTTCTAGCAGACGACAGAGGCGACCTTGGAAGCGACGGGGAGCTGGCCAGGGCAAGCACCAACTCCGGTACCCTCTGGCTCTCTTCAGTGTGTCACGTATCTACCGTGGTAGATTCTGCGGCGGCAAGAAGGAGAGTGCAGTACGTGACCTGCTGCGTGTTAGGGTTTCAGTAAAAGGTCCATTGAGGCTGACTGACCTCTCGCACATACACACGGAGATGTCCACGTTACTGAAATAAAGCTACTAAATACCGTAACTTGTTACTCACTCAAAAGGTAACTAAGTATACGTTACTCGTTACTACGATTTAAAAAGAACGGGGTTACTTCACCTGAAAAGTAAGGCGGTATTTCCTCGTTACTCTGAACCTGTCGTTTTTATGAAGCAGTAGCAGCTTCCAATATTTATCTTCGTTTATAATTGCTTTCTTTTCAACGGATTCATTCAGGGATAACTGTGGCCATACAGACATACCCAGAGCCATTTATACCGAGAGAGTTTGGCCTTAAGGATATTTTGACAGCCTGGCAACCACAGCTGCGTAGTCTGACAACCGGGGGATGACTACTTCCTTCCGCCATTTTGTGGCTCTGACTCATAAAAGCCCTATGGGATTTCTCAGGAATACACGAGACAAAGAAGTAACACCATTTTGTGTTATCGCGAAATCCGCTGCGTCTGGACGCAGCGGACGCTACGAGCTATCTTAGCCAATAGGGAGTTTTCGTAGACCGCGCTGCACCCTCCGCTAAGCGTTCCGCGACGAAAAAGTTGCTACTGCGCCTGCGCGCCGATAGCCTTGACTGTGGAGTTCCCGCTGTCCTAGTGGGTTGCGGAGGGCCTTGCGGGACGGCGAAAACGATCTACGAAAACTCCCTAATCTCGCTCTGTGGAAGTAGCACGTGATACGCTTTTCGCGTGTCGCTGTGCACCCTCTCCAAGGTCACAAGAAAGTCGCACGGCCTTGGATTGGCACCGATGGCTCGTAGCATCCACTGCGCTAGGACGCAAGGGGAAACGGTGTATAGCGGGCAACAATTAAGCTCTGCCCAATGGCCAAACACTCTCTAAGTATGAAGGGCTCTGGACATACCTTGTGCACATCCTTAAATCGTCTATCTAGAGTTTTATCATAGAGCAAATTCCAGGCGCGAGCTGACGTGAGAACTAGATTGGGCACTTCTGTTCTACACGTTCAGACCCAGGAGTAAAAATATACTGTTAATCGTTACCTCATCAAAAAGTAGCGAAAATACGTAACATCGTTCGTTCTCTTAAAGGGTGACTAGGTTTTACTTGGTCACCGAAAAAATTAACTAGGTACAAGCAACGCCTTACTTACAAGTGTGTATGATACACACAACACAGTGAATTACAGATGACGTGACGCCAAACGACAACAGCGAGATATGCAAGAAGACGCCAGCACCTTTCAGACGAAGACCTGGAGCACGTCGGTGAGCGGTGGGATCGGCGACAGTGACCTTGGCGCATCCTTGGGCAGCAGGGTCGGAAGGCCTCTGCACGACTCGTCCTCGGCCTTGTAGTTGATGCACACTGTGTCGAGGAGCACTCCCGCGTAGGTCTCGATCAGCTCGTGCGCGTATGCCACGTGACTGTCGTCGCAACTGCCCTTCACCGCGTCCACGATGCACTGTCGGTAGCCGCCGAACGAGCTGCCGGAAGTCAAGGGCACAACTTCAGACGCAGCGTGCCAAGTCCGCGTTCGCGTCACATATGGGCCCACAGATTTAGGCACTTTTTTCAAACCCCCATCGAGCGACATTGGCGGTCGCCGTTTCTTGGGAACGAAGTGTGCGAATGAATCCCGAGTCTTTGCCGAACGATGACGCGGCATTCGTGTCCAATACATGTTCAGAGTACGCACCCCAACAATGGCGGGCTCAGATAATTGCCGCTGCAGTTTCTAGATGATGTGCACGTTTGAAAAAGGGTCCCTGGCAAAGCGCAAGTGGCCCTCCTGGCTTGTGCCGCATGCGTGAAAACCAGTGCAACATCCACGTGAAGAGCCATAATCCCACTTAGCAGGGGCGCGAGTGAATTTTAGTGCAGGAAACAATTAAAGCGTAATAACACTCTGGCATATATTTATGCAAACCGAAGATATAGCAGAAATGTGTTAGAGCCATGGAGACAAGTCTTCGTGTCTCTAACCAGAGTGTTAGACCATTCCGGCGGTGATGTCGCTTTCTTAAAACTCTAATTTCTAATATAGACATCTTCCGTTTCCTACCGTTCTCAGTCAAGTGGGTTCCGTATCTAGTATGTGAAACGAAAACATAATAAAATATTTCAAGCTGTAATATGCGAGAAAATATAGGTGAGGCAGAACAAGAATCTGTGACACTCACGCGTTTTTCGTAAACACCTTTTAGCGGCGTGGAGAGATAAAAACGATGCTTTACCGAATACCAGAAGTGACGACATTCAAGATAGCTGAGCCCTTGTGGAAAAGGTGTACATATATAGAACGCATCCACAGTAGGTGCCTTGGATTTTGAACAGCTTCACGTTCATTTGGGAAATTTTGTCCGGTGCTCCAGGATTGCAAGCGCGAAGTACCATGCACTCTTAGGGCCCGTTCACACGATGCATTTTTCTCGCGCATCTAGTGTCGCGAAACGTAGTTTCGCGAAATGGTTGCGCCGTCTGAACGAGTCCGAAAAGGTAGATGCGCGAGAAAAATGCATCGTGTGAACGGGCCTTTAGGAACTACGGGGTCGAAATGACGCGTCCCGAACAAGCGCCGTCGTATTGTATAACACTAAAGATACCCGTCCTCATTCTCCCTTCTGGAATTACTTAAGGACAAGGTTAACGCTGTAGGCGTCCCAATAGCTATACTTGTTGCTCGGTCAAAACGTTAAAGGGATGCTGAACTGATATCTGGATTCCACAAAACACGGCGGCAAAAACATGCAACGGGATGCTACAAACACCAAAACATCACTCATACAGCGATATCTCGAACGGATGACTGTATTTTTTTTTAAAAAAGGAGGCGCATTTGACAGAGATGTTTACGTCACATTTCTCCGAGAAGGAGAGGGAACGGCCTCGTGTCTTCTTCGCCTCGCCGCCTTGAGGGGGCGAAGTGAAGAGAGGAGGAAACGAGATATCTTTACGTCATGCGCCTCGTCGGCCTCATTCAATCTCGACCTTTTTCTTTTTTTTTTTTTTTTCGAAAATGCGGCCGTCCATTTGAGATATTGCCTTACGAGTAGTGTTGTAGGGATTGTAGCGTCCCGCCTACAGCTCCTGCATTGTTTCTTTGAAATCCAAATTTCGGTTCACCATTCCTTTAACTCAAATCCGTTAGGCCTTCCCGTCCGCGTAAAACTAGTCCTGCCTTAGTTCATTACAAAAAAAAATAATAAGAGTAAGAAGTAATGCGTCATTCATACAACAATTATGTATGCAAGGGTCTACGCTTGTAGTGTGTTGCGGGGACTGTCCGACCCTATGTAAGCCGCAGAGTTATGATTATACAACGAAAAAAAAATCACGATGTTCTCTTAATTATTTGCAAACAGGCCTCAAAGATGTTCGAAGCATATTTTTGCTTCATATACATACGTCTCCTTCGAACAGGTCTGCAGAGAGTTTTTGTATGAGATGTGAGCGTCGTACTAGCAGGAACAACGTCTCGGACAATGTCACTTCAGGCTGTCTCTTGTATGATGCATTAGCAGTATATGACTCCGGCTTTTAACGAACTCACCAGCACGCCAGTCCGATCTTGTGCTTCCTCTCGTGGTGTTCAGCGCTGGCCTCGAGAATCCCCGTTAGCCGCTTCATGCAGCGATGGATCTTGTCGCCGGCGGTGTTGAGGCACTCGGCGTGCTTCATGTACCCTGTTCCAGGAACGGCCAAACATGGGTGCAACTGTATATAAGGCCTCGAGTGTTTCCGAAACTCCATATATTGTACAGGGTGTCACAAAAGAAAATTTAAACGGTCTTTTTTACCGCAAAAATAAACTAGGCATCGCCGAACGCTCATTCTCCGCCCAAATGTAGCGCTAGAGGTCACAACGAGATGCCAAAGTTTCAGCCCGATCCGATAACTTAATCAAAAGTTATAAGTGATTTTCTGAAAATTTCATTGGGAAAATGGCGGCCGACGGTGTTTTCAAACACATGCGGCTCTATGGCACCAGAAACCGAAAACAGACTAAAATGGGCTCCATTTTCCCATTGTAATTTTCAGAAAATCACTAATAACTTTTGATTAAGTTATCTGATCGAGCTGAAACTTTGGCATCTGGTTGTGACCTCTAGCTCTACCTTTGGGCGGAGAATGAGCGTTCGGCAATGCCTAGTTTATTTTTGCAGTAAAAAAGACCGTGTATATTTTCTTTTGTGACACCCTGTATATATATCGCCGCGAACACAGTGTGCTCGATTTGCGGCTCTCTCGTTGTCGCAATTTCGCTTCATGTATACCGTACGTCACTTACTTTTAAACGGCTTTGAAATATGGTTGAAGATAGTGTTACATCACGTGGTTATGGTGTACGCTGAAAAAGGAGTCGTACCAACCACACAGCAAACGTACCGTCGTTTTTTTTTTTTGTTTTTTTTTACTTCTCTTTTTTTGTGGATTTTTTTATGTGGACGGAAATTACGTTTTTTAGCCACATTTGGTCGCTTCCAAGCACTGCGCACAATATTTTGTGGAAATCTGTGCTTGCCGCTGAAAACGGCACGTGAGTCATGACAAAAGTCACTTGGCTATGGTCACATGACGGGAGCTCAAAATTATTTCAACGACGTCATTTTCGTTAATTAAAAAAAAAAAAAACGTGTTCGCGAAATAATAATAAAAAAAAGAGGCAAGCGTACGTATCTGGGAGGACAGTCCTTAATAAACAACCTCTATACTTCGTTTCAGCTTCGGTCCGAGCGCGGCCGATGTTATGAGCCGAAGGGCCAATCAAAAAGCGAAAGACGCACAACGTCATGGCGTGCTCTCTGCAGTTCATAGGACAAGCCGGTATGCGCCGTCTCTCTGTGCGCGCTCCTCCGCCGCCTAGTCCTATCAAGCGCAGAGAGCACGCCATGACGCTGCGCTTTTTGCGCTGTTTGATTGGCCCTTCGGCTCATAACATCGGCCGCGTTCGGACCGAAGCTGAAACGAAGTATAGCAAATATGAATGTGACCTCGATCGCAGCGCGCCCTCAGTTTAGTACAATACATCCTACCATGTGTCAGAGCCATGGGTGAATAATACCCTCTACGTTTCGGGCGTTAGCATGCGCCACCTGGTAGCGGCTTACGTGTGTGTCCAGGGCTGCCGACCGTGCACTTCTCCCTGCCGACGGTGCTGGAGCCATCAAGCACGAGTTGCACCATGCCCCTTGGGATGCCCTCCAGGCATGTCTGGGTGTAGTCTGTGACGCACTGCCTGTCTTTTTGCTCTTCTCTTCACCGGAAGAAAAACAAAAACAAAAAACCCTTGTATGCTGCGTCTTTTTTTTTTTTTAATTGCTCCTCGTTTTGGGTTTGTAATGCAAGTTATTCACCCGCTTGCCTGTGTTTTTACCCTTACTTGGCTAACGGCAAGAGACTCGGACTTGAACATAGGAGGTTCGTACTCAAACCAAGACCACCTAGAAGACAAGCCCTGCTTGTGACCTCATTGTAAGACGCGGCAAGACGCGCGTGCGAGGCGGACGGAAAAATTATTAATTATTCGGGAAACAAATAACTTAAATAGGTTTCTAAAGCCAGAAAAAAAAAAAGGAATAAACAATAAAAAAAATAAAAGAATGAAAAAAAACGGGAATGCGCGATGGTCCGTCGATAAAGGGAGGTACTCAGCTCGGTTACAAGGAAGCGAATATTCTACATTACCTTGACGTGATCCCCAGCAAATGCTACACGCGCGCGGGAAGATAGTAGGCTTTATATTCTCGTTGCACGGGCGAGCAATGGAGAGGGTACAATAAAAGAGTACAGCAAATACAAGCGAACCTCCCCCCCCCCCCTCCCCCCCACGTCACCATTAGTGGTGACAATTATTTTCAACGTTAGCGTTGACGGAATGCTCAGAGTATTGTACAGCATCTTGAGGGGATCTGCGACGCGTAAGTGCTCATGGAGTAGAGATGTCAGTCGAGACATATTTATGCTTGTTGCACCGCCTTCGTTCGCACCCTATGAGGAAACAGAGCATAAAACAAAAAACAAAAACTTGTGCTTAGCAAAAAAATATGTTTTTTTTTTTTGCCCTTGAATTGCCAGATAAAAGTTAAGATCAGAAACGTGTCCTACTTTGTTTCAGATTAGTAAGATGTAGATTTATTTATTACGGTACTACTTTGTAATGTTATTTATTTTATGTTCTGCGTGTTGCCTGTGGCAGTCAAAAAATTTATTCATTATTGGAACCTAAACCGGACCTTGGCTGTGGATCGAGCCACGAATTGTATATTAATGTAACATTATAAAATAATATCCCACAGAATGAAAGAATGAATAGTCTTTGCTATGGTCTATGTATAAGGTGGCCCTCAATATCCAAAAAAGCAAACTTCATATAGAAAAAACTAAGATTCCAAACTAATCCCGTAACTTACATACGTGCTCCGTGATGCTCAGGCGCACAAAACTCACTCGCATGTATTGGCCAGCTCTTGGGCACTCCCGGGTATCCTTGCGCTTCCAGTGAAAAAGAAGAGGCTGACGGAACACCTGTCCAGAAGATCTCGCTCGCAGCCCTTTTTGACACGCTTTACGGAAGCAGCCATTAGTCCCCAGGCTGTGAAAATCACGGGACTTGGGGTCACTGGCGTCCCATCAACACACGCGATTATTTTCTGACAAATCATGTTCCACTTCCGAAGACAAAGCGTGCAGAGGTTTAACGAATATGGCTAACCTATAGTGGCAACTTCGCGCTTCAAAACTCTTCCGTGTTATCGGATAAATCACTTCACTCGCTGGTAAATATTTTTGTCGATTTTTGAAGTCACAGTGTAGGGAAAAAAATAAATAAGACGGTGTTCTGTAAGGAATAAAAGCGTCCCAGGTCCTGAAAAGAGGCAGTCCAGTTTCCTTTCAAATCTTGGATCATTGAAAAAAGGGTGTTTACGTTTATCCCGTCAAGGTTCATTCAGGACAGCGCGGGTCATTGTACTTCTGATCTGGAGCATGAAAAAAGAAAAGAGCTATACTGTTCCGGCATTTAGTTTGGACCCTACTATTTGTGCATCTGAGAGAAAAGCTACGAGCCATTAGAGTTTATGGGAGGGGTGGGGGGAGGGGTACAGGGGGAAACTGGAGTGTCTTCTCTTCAGCTGTGCACCTCAAGTACGAGGTGCGCAGCTCAAACTTCCATATTACTCCTTTCACTGCTCCACTCCGTGCAACCGCGGCACAAAGTAGTGCAATGGAATGGGAAGAAAGCGAACAATATTTTTTCAGCTGGATCAAGCAGCCCCAAAAGTTGCATCGTCACGGCGCTCGTCGCTATTGGCCGTTTGCTATCCGCGGATAAACCAATCATCGCCCAGTAAATGCCAAAAAAAAAAAAAAAGAAAGCCTGAGCTCTTCTTTTTCGTGTGGTTGGTTTAGCCGGTGTAGCCGGCAAACCCAGAAAGACGGCAAGCGACGCGACGCACTTTTGGCGGTGGTCGGACATGATGTGAAACAGAGTTCAGTTGGGTCAATCAAGGCGAGTGACAAAGTCGCAACGTCGCGGCGTTCGCCATCTTTCGGCGTGTGTGTGTGGGTGTGCGCTCTCGGGCTAAGCCAATGGACCGCAGTGAATGCACCGTGTCCCTGCGCTTTTAGTGTTTGCGTCTGTATTTGTACGCATGCCCTCCATAGCCGCTGACGGCCCAAGATACGCGGGGAGCGACTTGGGTCCACGCCTGTTCCCTCGTGATTGGTCATTCGGCGCTCTTGTTGGCTGAAGCCACACTCTTATTGACTGTGGAGCGGCAATGAGAGGACTCGACATCGCCTTTAGCACGTTCCAAGCACCTTTGCTTCATGCACACGTATGCTTCGAACATGTCTGCAAACAGCTTTTTGTATGACCAATGTGACAGAAAGAAGAAACACGCCTCAGACAGTGTCTGCAGATGGTCTTTCGTACGAGCAGTGTGACCGCGGTTTTACGCCGTCTGTGAATATAGCCCTTACTATGGCTGAAGCGGAGTAAAGAGGTGTTCGTAACACAAAATAAAGCGAAAGAAGTATGCGTAACATGGACGTAGAGGGTTCTCTTACCCAGGGTGCACAAGATAGCGGCGGGCACGATGCTGTTGATCGACATCATCTCTCAGTCGCGATGGGACACTGCGGAACCTATATAGTCACCGCACGAATCGAGTGATCGGCCCTCGTCGTCGTCTTATATATATGACTTCCACGCCAACGGTCAAACCTTGATCGAGTCGCTTTCTCCTCTTATCGTTCATTGAAGGTCTCTCGGTCTTGGAGAGCGAGCGACTCTCATCGGTTTGGCGTCGACCTCCACCCACGAACAACAGGAGATAATCGGCATCGAAGGTCGGGACGCGATCGCAGATCATCTCGGCCGATTGCTCGCTCTACGAGGTTGCTGACCTATGCGGAGGGCAAGTTCGTCTGCTTCTTGCGGTGACGTCAGAACGACCCCGAGTTCTGATTGGCTGTGGTTGAAAGGATTTTTTAAATCAACCAATAAGAGCTCGGCCTTCTGACATCATCGCAACCCCTGTGCAAGAAGCAGACGAACTTGCGCTCCGCATAGTGGGATATTCACCAGACGCCATCTTGGACTTCATTGGTTCACACACTTGCGACTGCTTACGACCGGAGGCGCAAAAGGTCCGTTCACACACTTGCGCTTGACTACGACCGACCGACTGAGACAAAACAGGTTTTAAGCGTCTTTTGACGGCTTAAGACCGGCTGCGCAGCAATGCAGCTGGTCGATAAGTCGCCGCAAGTCTAAAAACCGGCCTTGTCCCAGTCGGTCGTAGTCGGTGGCAAGTGTGTGAACGGTCCTTAACTATCCTGACAACAAGAAAAGAAGCAATTTTTAAAGGATCCGTGCAAACGCTTATATTTTCCTAACTAATTTAAGTATGGAGCAATATGGCATACATCAAAATGTGCCCAATTAATTGTTCTTTTCGGAGCAACTGAGGTTAATATGATGTGGAAAAAAGATGTTAAAATTTTATTTGTTGAAAATGCAATGTACGCGCGGAAGGCGCAGAAACACCGAAACTTCTACAGCTATGTAAAATAAACGACAAATAAGAAAAATTCCAGAATATATAAAATGTGTCCCACACAAACGGCTATTGCTTCTGAAAGTTAGTGTACTTTAACTAATGTTGTGTGTTTTTGGTTCATCGGAGAGTTACAATCCGTAGCACGTATGTTCTTAAACGAAGGAATTGCTTATATTGGTGAAACACAGATAGCACACCTCAGATCCCCAGCAGAATGCTTTCTTTCTGGTCTTCCTTCGTTTTGTCATAGCCTTGATTGCAGTTTCTTTATATTTAGAATTTTTGTGCGCCTTGTTGGAAACATAAAACGTGCACTCAGACTCAGGACAGCCTTGGAAATTACAGTGATGCTTACCGACAATTATGTGTTAAGCAACGCCTCTGGCATAATTTAAGGTGCCCCCAGAGCTCTCGAGGTCTAAAAAATATGCTACAATACAGTTGAAGTATGTCAATAATGCTGTCTTTGTTACAACGACTGGTGCAAGCAGTTAGCCATGTTAGACAAGTGCAACCGCCGTTCCGAGGACTATGTTTTGACAGAGCACCACCTTGTGATAAAGTTTAAACCTACCGTGGAACCGAAACTAGAGTTCTTCGGCCATCCACGAGATTGTGGAACACAATTCTCCGCATTCAATTTAATTTCTTCACGGCGTTGGGAAACCATCGATCACCGGTGATCGATGGCCTATGGGCGCGGTCAGGAAAGAGTCAAAACCGGTTTTAAGCCTTGCATGACTGCTTTTTTTTTTTTTTCTTACTTTCATTTTCAATTTTGTTTTAATTCTCTCCACTTAAGGCCCGTTCACATATATGCGACCGAGTAAGACCGAGGGCAACCAGACCGGTTTTTAAGCCTTTTGTGACTTCTTAGGACCGGATGCGCTGCGGCGGAGCTGGTCCTAAGAGATCGCAAGAGGCTTAAAAACCGGTCTGGTCTCTCTCGGTCTTACTCGGTCGCAAGAGTGTGAACGGGCCTTTAGACTTCTACCTGCTTACGACCGGCAGCGCTGACAATCGCAAGCGACTTAAAACCGGTTTTTAGCCTCCCGTTCTTTAGCCTCTTGTGACTGCTGCGCGCGTAAGCGACTTAAAACCGTTCTTTAGCCTCTTGTGACTGCTGACAACCGTCTGCAGGGAGGGTAAGCAATCACAAGAGGCTTGAAACCGGTGTTTAGACTCTTTGGTTGTAAGCAGTCGGAAGTGTGTGAACCAGTCTGCTAAGGCTGGCAATCTTGAGCTTCAGGAGCGCGTCGCAAAAACAATGTAGAAGCTGGCCGTGCTCAGCAACCACGGAATCAGGCTGCCAGCGAATATGGCCTCCGCCAATCCGTTGAGGCGGTGGCCGTACTGTGAGCGTCGCTTCAAGTGTGCGACTTGTGATTGGTTCCGAGTATGACGCCGTCCGGATTCGGACTCGGGACTAATCACAAGCCGCCCACTCCCGGCGACGCAATGATTGGTATACATGGGGGTATCTTTGTTACGGATTAGCACAACTGTACGAGGTGCGATCAAAAAGATTCCGGGAACAACAACATTTATGACTTTCCGAGCCCCCTCACATACGCGAACATGAATTAAATCGAATGCACATATTTAAATGTATCGTTCAAGTATCTTTGAAGGAAAGCCATTGTAATGATCCCCGCATTGTGTTATTTTGGACTGACAGCGAAAAATATAGGCGGCCACGTAGCGCGCCCGTCGATTTTTATTTCGTACAAAATCTAAAACAAATCCTTCTTGCATCATTTTTCAGACAACTTCATCGTTGTCAGAAGGTCGATGCAAAAACTGAAACTTCGGGAATGATGATATCAGCCAAAACGCATCGCAAGGCCGGACCGCCGTGTGTGAATGACTAAAGGGCACATCCATTTACAGATGATCAGATTATGCAGAACCGTGCGATGACGAGAGTCCGAACACTCGTTGGAATGACCGAAAGAACAACGGGGGAAGTTCATTGGCTAAACGCACTGCAGGCGTTGCCTGCACTCCAAGAAATCTGGACAGTCCACTTGGGAGAACCAATCGCAGCTATGTACCGAGAGAGATGGATGCATGACGGGGTTGAAAATAAGTTTAGAGCTTACCAGGAAACAGTACGCGCGGTGGCACTGAGTATGGTAAACATCATGCGATATTTTTATTGATACCATTAGCCTTATCACAGGGCTATTACAGGAGTGGGAGGTATTGTTAAAGAAAGGAAAATTCATAAAACACACTTATACATACACGTCCACCCAAAGAAATAAAAAATAAAGCCGTGCACGCATGCCGGCACGTAGTGATTAAACAGAGTAGTGTTTAATGACTTGCACAAATTACAACGCTTTCAATGTTCTTCAGCAAGGCCACAGAAGATGTAGAAGCCACAGTGTCACTCGGCTGTCTGTTCCATTCTCTGATGGCTGTAGGGAAAACAAACGATATTTTAAGCAAGCATTTCTCACACATCCTTGTACAGACCATTGTACAGACATTGTTATACGATTGAGCCGTATTTCTCCAAGAAAAACATTAGAAAACACTCGTTCTTTTTTTTTTTCTTTTTTTTTTGCACGAACCATCGCACATCGCAGAATTGAGTTCATTACCGGCGGAAGTGGTGTGCCGCCAGGCTATGCATCTTTTTTTTCTTTTTTTTATCATTATGTCCCCCTGCAATAATGCTTGTATAGGTGCTGCGGGGTTTTCATGAATAAAAAATATTCCCTTCTGTGTAAACTGTGCCGATGCCTAGAATTGTCTGTATACTTGCAATGGAGTCTAAAGCTCAGCGGCTAAGCACCAATATGGCGACGCCGATAAGATATCTAGGAATGGAGTACCAATACTCTAAGCGTAGATTATAGCTACGCTTAAAGTAGGCACAACCGTGACTCATGATCACTTCACGAAGCTACCATTTTAATTGCTTACCACGTTGTGTAAGGCAAACAGTTTCCCCAGTGACTCTGCTGTTACTGCCACCTCCGAAAGCAACTGTATACTTTGAACTGTTGATTTGTTAAATATTATTTTTTAAAAATGGCACGATGATACATCAGAAACTGATAAAATCCGAAAGAAAAAAAAAAGGTCAGGATGCACAAAACTTTTAGGCGCCAAAGAGGGTCACTATACGCAAAAACACGAGGTTGAACAACAGCTAGCCTTCTCTCCTTTTCGTGTTTCGCTGAAGAACCGAAAATAATAGGCCTATTTAAATAATAAAGTCCACCGACAGAATTTGCATTGGAGGACCATTATTTTTACTTAGACCTGTATCTGATCCCCGATTGTCCGCTAAGGTAAAACATCAGGGTGCGATCGCTGACGCCTAATGCAACTTCGTCATTATTGGTAGTTCGATGTTGTCTACAGACGCCCGAGTTTCCCAGGTATACAGAGGGGACAAATTGATCCAGCAAACTTTCTATAAAGTCCGGCTTTGGATTAGCAAGCGCGACAGAGTTGCCAGAGCAGAAGGACAGTCCGTCATGTCTCCAACCAACAGCCCTGACTTCATCCTCAGGGTAGCTTACCTGCCTGTAAGTTTGCTTGTGTTCTTTCCTTAAAATAGTATACGTAATAAAGCATAAAAAGTTTTTTAACGCTATCTCCCAATTCTAAAATTTTGTCCGTCCGTCCGTGAAATTCCTGCTAAATTTAGCGGATAAATTGATATCACGAGGCCTATCGTTTTCAATTGATATCACGAGACACGAATTCAGGTTCTCAGCTAAATTTAGCGGGAAAATTGTATGCCACGTGACCTGACGTCACGGGATATACGGACCAATTCCGTTTCCCCGCTAAATTTATCGGAAAAGTTGACACCACGCGACCGGTACATTAATTCAGTTTTTCGCCTAAATTTGGCGGGAAAGTGACGTCACGTGACGTATACACCTTGGGAAAATTGACGGCACGTTACCTTTACGTCAAGTCAGTTTCCCCGTTAAGTTTGACGGGAAAATCCACATCTTGTTGCCAAAACATCGATTCAGTTTCCCCGCTAAATTTAGCGGTAAAATCGCGTCAAGTGACCTATACAACAATTCAGTTACCCGCTTTTTGAAGAAAAAAAAAATTTCGTGAAAAAAAATTTGCAAATAACTATAATCCCTTTAATTTTTTTTTTTTTTTTCATTTTAGTGTACGTTTTGTTTCGAGCAACCAGCGTGTTAGAAGGCTGCTCTAATGTTATAGCCGCTGACAGTTTAAGAAAAGCAGGGCGGTGCGAGTCATGAGCGTCTAAATATTGTTCCGCGGCCAATAAGATTGCAACTTTTAGCCGATAAGAGTGCGAATGATGAATCGCGAAGCAAAAAGTCGTAAACATAAGAAACCACGCCCTATGTTTCGTAGGCTGTCAGTGATTGTAGTATGTTAAGCGTAACTCTTTTCATTAAGTGGTTGTATGAAGAGGGAATCTGGTCGGTCCCGGGGAATAGCTCCAAATAATTTAAAAAATAGATAATCAATTTTTTTTCAGTAATCTTTTGTCACCGACGGAAAATGATAGACGAATGTATGGATTCATATAAATATACAATTAGGCTAACGTATACAGACTTAAAGAAATAAGTATACAACCTCTCTGGCGTCGGCGCTCAAAGAGCGATACGTTCGGGAATGATCCGAACCAAGAACACTCGATGACAGCCGAGAATGGGCTGGAGCTTAGCAGAAAAATACGTGTTAAGAAAGCAAAACAGGGTCCGGCGGGGTTCGAACCTTGTTCGAACCGCGTGCGTAGCCAACTCTACCAAGGTCATGCAATATTGAATATGCAGTCACACCTGCGAGCTTATTGCCTCGAAATGCATTTATACTCTGTTTCATGCTTAGTGTGCAACGCTGTCAAAGCTAGTGGCACGAGCATGGGGCTTGACCTTGTTGATTATTTGCACGCGTTCTCGCGCAAACAAACCCATAGATGAAGCCACGCGCTCGCGCCAGTAGCTCTGACAGCGTTGCACGAAACCGAGTATAGTGTGTACATGCCGGTTTAAACCTTGCGTTGAAAGGGGCCCGTCGCCACTGGATTAGGGTGTGCCCTGCGCAAAACCACTAAAATCGCTTTCAACTCAATTGAGCCTTAGTAGAAAAACGTTCGGCTGCTACGTTACGTTACGTTTTGAATGTTCTAACCGCTTGTGAAGATGCACGACGGGATCATTTTCATATAGTGATAGGACGGGCATAATAGCAATGTATAAGCATCATCGGAATGCTGACGAACCTTCAACAGAGTCTACATTCCTTTCGATTGTTATTTTGCTTTGAATCGTCGCTCGTTTCTACACATCTGCTATAGAATAGAGGTTTGGGCCTTAGAGCGAAGTTTAACTTCATTCAGAGCAAAATACAAAATGCACGCGTTTTCCCTTAAGCACAGGGTGTGCGTTCCTATGGGAAAACGCGTGCATTTTGTCTCTATGCCGGAGAACAACAGGAATCATTTTTGTTCATGGGTCGTAGCGAATACTATGCAGCTTTATTGAGATTGTAAAAGTGTAATTGCGTTAGTTACAGTATTTTGCTCCACCAGTGAACAGGAGCAGCGCAAAAGTAGACCGGTTGCTGCCTGCTTCAATTTGCATATCGAAAGTCGCATAAACACTAGCGCCAGTTGAACCTCTAGCGTACATTAGAACAACCCTATAAGGTAGCCAACGAGCGGCAAAAGAATATTATTTTTTACTGATTTTTATAAACGGGTTGGTATTATTTTTATTACATCTTTGAAAAAGATGTAAAATAACATAGAGTAGAGGAGATACGATCATCAAGCATGACAATGTTGCTGTGGACATGTCTGATCCATCATATGAATTAGATCATTATTTTAGTGCTACAAAACATTCTGAAAATCTTGATCTTCTATTTTTACATTCTTATCAAATGTTTCTCAATTCCAGTTTCCCCTCTACGTCATTGAGGAACAACGGAACAACCAAACGCATGTCTTTGGCATTACTGGATCAGTTCTGGACAACATCACTACCGCCATGAACATCACGTGAGATATACAAGCGGGGGGAGGGTTGTGTTCGAACAAAACTTATACAAACTTGAAAAGACGAAGAGGTGATGAAATTTTAGGCAAGGTGGAGCAAGCTGCCGCCCGTTATGAAGGGTATAGCCATTACCATCTATCCACCTATCCACGTGCGTCTCCGACTTACGTGCTTGATGTGCTTACCGTGTCAAAAAAACAAAATGGCCCCTCGATTTTAGCTTGATGACGTCATACAAGTGTCATGCTGTCACCGGCCGCGATCCTGGCGGTGTGACAGCAGCGGTTGTGGATGTGGCAGACGCCTGTTCCACTGCAGGTCGCTCTTCAGCTTGTCAGTCCACGGGAGTTTCGGCAGCCAGAGTTGGGACGCCACGACAACAGTGCCACTTATTGGTTCTCTCGTGCTTTCTTCCAACCGCTAAAAAAATCTCGCCACCCGCAAAATGGTAATTTCTCCCTCTAGACAACTCAGAAAACCGCTAAATTTAGCAGAAAACCGCTAAATTGGCAATACTGTAGTACGGGCGGCGATTGATCGCTTTTCAAACTAAAAACTCAGGTTGCCGTTTGCGATGTTACGTTGAGTTTGTCCTTCTTATTAGCCTCCGTCTCGGGTTCTAGTACGTCGGCTTGCAATGCTGTGGGATGAGCATGTGGACTGCTCAGTCTGTTATGCTTGATAGGAAACAGGCGTTCAAGCAAGAGCTTTCCGACGCAAGCCCTCTAGATTTTTTGCACGAACAGAAAGGCCGATATGCACCAGCATCTGTTTCTGACAGCTCGTCAAAGTGATGGCGCCGACTTTCAAACGCCACACGCGCAAACACATCGCCCTTCAACACACCCACTTTCTGTGCATGCAGCATGCACAGATCACATTTTCCCACGGGAGCTGCGGGCACTGCCAGTGCCCGCAGCTCCCGTGGGAAAATGTGACCTTTCATAAACAATTGGTTATTGCACACTATATGGCTTGGTTTCGTTACTGAAGTTGTTATCAAAAGCCATGATTATGAAGCGTTATTACGTTTCAAAACTCTCAGATCTGTATTTTCCTTGAACGGACCATGTCCCTCCGCGGACATTGCTTGCTTGAGTGAAGGGGGGGGTCACAATGTAGCAAGGCCAGGTAGAGTCAGCAACGGAACCCAGCAGAGGGGAGAGGGGGGAGGGGGTTAAAGGGGTACTCCGCCGATTTCTTCATGGTCCCCGATTTGCTTGAAATTTTGCTAAACTCGCCAAACAACATCGCCAAAATAGTATCCCAAATATTAGGTCGAAATAATTTTTTTTCACGAAGTTATTGAATTTACAATTTTGGTCCTCACCGTGTTTGTCAAACTGAAAGTCTCTACTGGCAACAATGAAAAAGTGACGTCATTGGAAGTGCCGGGGTTCACTCTTTGGACTGTAGAATTTGTTCCCAACTGATTCGAAGCAGTTTTATGGTGTCAAATGAATGCCTTGAAAGCTCGCTCCAGTCCCCGCGCTCCAGCACGGAACAAATAATTGGCATATTCTATTTTTTAGACTGCTCGCCCGACTGGCAAGCTGAACTTCCACTGACGTCACGGCCCTGAAAAGGGCGGGTATATTTGAATGTCTGTTTTTGCATCATTTTCATTTGCCGATTTCGCAATAACTATTATGAATTTCACGATATTAAATAGCATTCCAGAAAGGGTAAAGGCCTGGGAGTCAGAAAATATAGTTAGTTGAGGTAGCTCAAAAATCGGCGGAGTACCCCTTTAAGCACTGCGCCAAGCTAACACACTCATCTACCCCCCCCCCCCCTTCCCTACTGCGCAGTAGAGTAGGGAATGCGTATTATATAATAATCTAGCAGGCGCGGAGGCATTTCAAATTCAAATTGCTACTCGTTAAAAGCCTCCTTCAAGTGCTTCGCACCTTCACAGCATTTTATGAAATGTCTAGCGAGGCGATTTTCGGTATTTACCTCGAAACACCGACATACGTACGTCAAAAAACTTGTTTTTTCGTAGAAAACAATAAACATCGGAAATTTAGTCGTTCAATAAATTAATTAATTAATCAATTTGCGTCTAATGTGATTTTATTAATGATATCTTGTAAGTATTCTTCTCCAGACGCGATAGCAATTTGTAGACGCCGGTTCTGATAAACGCTGGCTTTTCTAGGAGAAGCTAAACATATAAATTAGTGCAGAAAATGACAAGGATTTGAAGTAAACAAGACAAGAGATATTTTATATTAACGCGTGTCCTGTTTACTTTGTGTCCCCGTCTTTTTTTTTCAATCTATTTGATATGTTTATTTAAGATTAACCAACTAGCCCAGCAACGCACCTTTCTGGCATAAGCGACAGGAATTTTGGCTCCTGCCCTTTCGCCAGCTTTTACTCACTTTCCCTTGCCTATCTACGTCATTATATTTTTCAACGAGTCGCCCACGTAAAATCAACTGAAATACAGATTTACGTTACACGTCGGATGAATAATCAATTTATCACGCCATATCGCGCGATAAACGAACAGATGAAAGCCAAGGGCCCAAGGTATACGGAACGGTGAACAGAATGGAATCTTCTATAGGTGCGCTATCAACGTCACATGAAATTGCAGGTACAGGCTCGTGTTTGCCGAGGACCTGCAGTGGGGTGTCAAGCTCGCCAACGGAAGTTACACGGGCCAACTCAAGGCCCTCGCCGACAATGTGAGCGAAGCCGCGGTTAAATTGCTTACAGGGAGTTTCAGGGGACCGTTTTCGCACATTCGATACGGATGGGCCCTCCCGTACGAACTGCGATTGCGTAAGTTTTCTGCGCTAGCACATGCGCAGTTCATATTGCAGGGCCCATCGTATACCTTATCGGACGTGCAAAGACGGTCCCCTAAAAGTCCCTAATACTTCGTACAAAACGAAAAAAAAAAAAAAAGAAACAGTCTGCAGAAACTAATTCAGGCGTGTTTCTTCGATGTGTGACGGTCTTGTAACATTAATCATACAGAAACTACCTGCAAACATGTTCGAAGCGTGTATAACATGCTTGGAAAATGCTTGACGTGTTTCCCAAGATAATGTTATAATCATGTTTGCAGCGAACGCAGTGTCTTTTGTATGATGTATACAAGCAGAGAGTGTGGGCTTAACGATGAGACCAATATTAGCCATACGGGTTTACACAAGTGTCCGACGAACTCATTTATTTATTCATTTTATTTATTTATAAATACCGTGAACCGAATTGGGCGGATTATACAGGAGTGGAGCACAAGTGAGGAAAAACAAAGAGTACAACCGCACTGGCTCGCACCATACCACACACAAAAACAGCAAAGGTAGGCAATGTTATAATGGGTACATGAACGTAAGAACCAAAAAAAAAATTAATACAAAAAAAATTAATAATATCATTCGAAAAATTGATATTTTTCGAATGATCTTATTGCACCGCAATTTCCAACATTTCCAGGAACCTTGTTCAAAGTTTTTAGTGCTCTAACAAAAAAACAAAAAAGAAGAGTATTTGTAGGTATCATTATTAACTCGCGAAATTTGTGAAGGCCTATTGTGCCCACTCCTTGAATTTTTTTTTTTTTTTATACGTGGTTGGTAGGAAACGAGAAGTGTTTCTATTGAAGGAGTTCCCTGAAAGAATAAACAGAAACTTTGGCCTGGCGCGGCGTATACACTGGAGAGGGAACTTGAGCTGTTCAAACACACATGTGACCATTCGACTGTAGCAGGATACGATAAAACGAGCTGCCTCTCTCCGATTTCTTTTTTCCAATTTATCGAATTGGTTTTTGCAATACGGGTCCCATATCATGCAAGTATTTTCCAGGGTAGGTCTCATAAGAGCTGTGTAAGCTGTTAGATTCACCTAACACATGGCATGCTGTCGATTTCGCTTGAACAGCTATAACCTTTTTCTAGCCGTATTTCACAAATTGTCGAAGTGGCATTTCTACGTTAAATCTACCGATATTTTAACTCTCAAGTACTTAAAATGGTCAGCTAGTGCTACGAGGTCATTTCCTATTTTATATGTATATGAAAGTATGTTTGTTCCTTTCCTTGTGATTCTGGCGAACGTGCTTTTGTCGTGATTTAGTTTCATTTCCCATCTCTCACATAATCGTTTTTTTTATCCTGATTTGAAGGGTATAGCAATATATGGGTCATCTTTGAACATTCTCACTGTGTCATCGGAGCTTACTTCGTCGGCGATATCATTAATATAACATAAAAACAAAACAGGGCCCAAGACTGATCCTTGTTACACTCCCGACAGAAGTTCACAAGTAGCTGAAACATTTCTATTGACAGTCACAAAATGTGTCCTGCTAGCTATGCTCGGATCCATTCAAACTCCTTATTAACGCCGTACATAATGATTGTTCTACGAGTCCATAGTGAGATACGCGATCAAGGACCTTCCAATTCAACTCGTCCTCTTTTATTTCAACTTGAACGAAAGTTTAGCTTCACTTCAGTTTAAATTCCTTTCTATCATTTTTTTTTTTTTCTAACTTACCTACGTGAATTAGTCTGGCCCCGATAGTATTCGCTAAAATGAATAATGCAGTGCAGTCTGCCTATGGTTTCCCCTCAGAGTGACCGCGTGGTACGCTTTTGATACTTAAAAGAAAGCGCTATAGCGAATAATATAACTTTCCAGTAAATAAAGTAACCGGATTGCTTTAGTGCCTCCTTATTTGGGGCACCCGTGATCGAAGCCTTCACACCTCCAATTTATAAGCACTGAATTGTACTAAGTTAAGTAAGATATCATGCAACACCTTAGTATTTAAACAGTAACAAACCTTTGGGAGTGACCAGTGTTGTACGGAACGGCGTTCCAAGGAACGGCGTTCCTGGAACGCGTTCCTTTGAGGAGGAACGAAGGAACGCCGCCGTTCCATTTTGCATCGGTGGAACTGGAACGGGAACGCGTTACATTTTTACTGGAACGAAAAGAGTAACGGCGTTCCTTTTTTTCGTCCAGTGGGGTAATTTTTATTTTGTTTCGAACAGGGCAATTTTGAAAGGACAAAAACACTATCTTTACGAAGTGCAGGATCTCGTTATCTTTTCGGCTACTAATCTTGTGGATTATATTGTGTGGTCCTCGCTTGCTAACAGTTTCGGGTGCAGGAGAGCTGGTGGACATTGATTCATTTTTGAGTGCCCGAAACTGCGGTACAAAAAGCAAGGCTTTTAGTCGTAGGAAAAGACAAAGAAAGAGGGTTGTTTCAAGCTCAGCTACTTTCTTTGGTTCCACGAATCCTCATACACCCACAAATCTAAGGCCGACTACAGCCACTTGTGAACTTCCATAACGAGGCCTAGAGTTACAACAAGATCACAGACTGCCAGACATCGAACGCACCCTTCTGTCCCGAACATTGGTCACTTAAAAGATACACCAAAAAAATATTTATTCTCTTGTCCCCTTCCCTCCCTTCCCTCCCCTCCCTCCCCCCCCCCCCCCCCCCCACACACACACACGCACACACACCTTCAAAATGAACAAGAAAGCCAACCTTACAAAGAAGTAATTGTAGTTTTTAAGACGGACCTTCCAAAAGCCCTACCCTCTCCTCGAATTGCTCGTCTTGCGGCCAGCAACATCGAGAAGCAACTGTTGTTAAGTTCGAACAGGGGACTTCGCTCAGTTGAAACGTGGGAGGTTGCTGTGAAACGCACGTACAATGTTGGGTAAAAGTACATTCGACTCGTCTGAATCGTCCACTACAAACATGAATATGTTTAAAAGCTGAGATTTTTAACTTGAATATATCAACAAATGAAACCCTGCTTCCGCTTGTTTTTTTCTCTTGTTGCCCTTCCATAGGACCTACAAACTCGTATGTTGACTTCTAATGCGATAGGTAAAAAGAAAAATCTCTGCTTGATTAAACTAAATATAGTAATTAGCAAAATACAAATGTAACGTATATGTAACGATACGTTCCATTTTTTAAACTGTAACGGGAACGAGTTCCTTTTTCACAGATGTAACTTGTAACGGGAACGCGTTCCAAAAATCAAAAGGAACGAGGAACGAGCTTTCGTTCCTTTTTTTGAGGAACGTGTACAACACTGGAAGTGACTCCTCAAGTACCTCGAAGGATAAGTCCGATAGCATGTAACCCCTTAGCCTTAAAAGGGGTAGCAAACCATTGAAATTGATGAAATAAGTCCACATAGCATGTAACACAATATCATTACAACAGTAACAAACATTTGCGTGGCGATTCCTTGCTTCGTGAACCTATACTTGATAAGAGATGGCGCAGGACGAAACTAAGATCGGAATATGGCTGATCTGCCCTTCTTTAGAAAGCGGACCTGGCACTCGGTCCTCACTACCCTGTGCTGGAGCACACCGAGGATTTCGAGCCCGCCCTGCCACATAATCAGGTTGCCATGGACATCATGAGTGGCATGCAAAGGGCGTTCGCGTCCAACATCTTCGCCTGCTTCACCGCTTTCAGCACTGAGGTAACGCATATTCAAACAAGCTGCATTGATGACGAGCTGGGCAAGAATAACGATTATAATCACCTTGCTGTGTTTGGAGATTTTTTTTTTTTTTCCCTTGTTCCTCTTCTCCAGAAATTATTATCGCTAAATTGTATTGTCTTTTTTCATGACGTCAATAAATTTACAAGGCTGGTGGTGGCCAGATTAGCTAACAGCCTTATGGGAAGTTAAAGAGCTACGCTGGACATGACCGTTACACTCCCTAGTGGCAGAAAATGTTGTTTCGCATCATCTTGCAATAGGGTTTGCCGTCAAATCCCGTTGACGGATTAGAGATAATTTGTTCTTTTAGAATATGAGCACGAACTGAGACGTCATCTAGAAAGCTTCGTAAGGTCTTGTATTTATTATACACGTCCTATCTTCATTGCTGCACGCTTCCATTGTCATCCGTCTACGAACGGGCCGTGTTTTCTTTTCTCAGAAAGGCGATGATTAGTTAGTGCATGGAGCGTGAGGTAATAAACAGCGGAAAGTTCTGGCGCTGTTAGATGTTTCTTTCACTGCGGACTTGGAGCTTTATTCTTCTTTCGGGAATAGGCATCACAAAAAACATTCCTAAACATTTCCTTTGGAATGTCGGAGACCTAGTTCGAGTAGAGTAAAACCGAGCAGAATACACGCGGAACGCCTTGCCCCTATGCGAGGCAAAACAACTACGACGGGACACAAGTTACGTCATTCCTCTTAAAAAATATGGAGCTTAGGGCGGTGTTCAAATAAAAATAAAATGTTATCAGTCTTTCGAGGTCACTCTATAGATGGCGAACTATACTGTATGCGACTAAAAGTCCGTTTATCTTTGTTCGAGCGGTGTAAAAAGGAGCTTAGTTTCCTAGAAACCGCACAGCAGCGGCCGCCATTTTGTCCGAAAAAACTTGCGAAACTTTGGCTGCAAGTCTGAGACTTCCAAAAGGTACTTTTCTCAAGTTCTTCCTCTCAGCAACTACAATAAATTCGTGATTTGCTCGTGGGAGCGTGTTTTAACTATTATAGTGCCTGCAGGAACGCGTCTCCGATTGTTGTGTTCACTGCGCTATTATTTGTGGTCAATCGATTTCCGCCTGACAATGTCATACAAGTGTCATGCTGTTGCCTACCGCGATCCTGGCGGCGGCACAGCAGCCGAGGTGGATGCGGTAGACGCCTGTCCTGCTGCAGGGCGCTCCTAGCTTGACAGTCCATGGTGGCTTCAGCAGCCACGAGTTGGGACACGTCGATCTCAGCGACACTTGCGTTTACTCGCGCTTTTTGCCGGAACTTCTACGACCAACCGCCAGGATCGCAACATCCATCAGCATGACATAGACAGCCTAGACCGAAGAGAGGGTCCATCTCGAACCACGGGTAGCGTGTGCAATTTAATGGCAAGGGCCCCCCGCGGGGATTAGTCGTAAGTGCGCATGAGCAGCATTTTCGCGTGGCGAAGAGGAAAGTAGGCGAAAAGGAACTATCGATGCTCTCGCCTCCTCCTTGCAGCTTCTATTGCGAACGCGGTCCATTAACCACATGACTCCACTCGAGCACTTGGAATCTGTAGTACAGGACACGCAGACTTCTGTGACATATCGTTTGCTGCTCCCGGTCGGGACAACTTTTGATGCATGGACGGTATAGGACGCTAAACAAACCAGTCGGAGACGCGTTTGAGTCACCACAATTTGATGAAGGAGATCTGTGTTCACCATTTTTTGTAGGTGTGGATCACGGTCATCAGCGTTCTCCTCTTTCTAAGTGCAATGACAGCGCTGCTGCGCCCGGCCAGTGACTTTTGACAGAGTCGTCCGATCTCTGCTCACGTACTTCGAGGTCATGCTGCAAGAAGGTGAGAAAATACGGCTCAACTGTAGAAGGTAAGCAAAGAGCTGACGCCTCAAACCTGACATAACTTCCTTGTCAAGGTGCTCACACAGGTGTCTTTTCGTGCAGTTTAATTCATTCCAAAGATCGAGAGGCTTTGCCTCGTAATATGAAGAGCAGGAAGCCCCGAAAGTCGCAACTCACTCAGGGGTCCTCATATACGACGGGATCGAGTGGGAGCAAGGGACTGGAACATCGCCGCCTGCTGCGATTGGTCAGTGGGCCATTTGCAGCAGGCGGCGATGTCCTGGCTCCCGCTTGGTCCCGGTTAAATCCCCGCCGTGTAGACTAGGGCCCCGGTTCTTTTTTTATTAGGAAGCAGCCTGTAACTCTAAAACTGATTCGACTTTCCAGCATTCGTTCCAACCTAAAATCAACAAAAAAAAAAAAAAAAAAAAAAAAAGTTGCAGTGCGATACGTATAC